ATCTTGGACGATTCGGCGTACTAGTATTGCTACTACTGCTACTACTGCTGCTACTGCTACTACTGCTACTACCACCACTACTACCACCACTACTACTACCACTACTACTACTACTACTACTAACTACGACTACTACTACTACTACTACTACTACTACTACTGCTACTTCTAGTACTACTACCACTACTACTACTACTACTACTACTACTACTACTATTACTACTACTACTACTACTACTACTACTACTACTATTACTGCTATAACACGACTGCTACTACTGCTGATGCTGCTGCGATTATTGCTGCTGCTACTACACTACTACTACTACTACTACCACTACCACTACTAGTACTACTGATGAATGCGCCGCGTTGGAAAAGAAGGTAACCACTCCCACAAAAGTTTCTGTTTAGCCATGATTTTTGTGGAGTCGCTTCAATGACATAAGCGACACGGCCTGAAGGTAAACATGCAGCGAGACTTTGTGCACGACAGCATCCCAGGCACATACCTGCTCGGCAGCCTTGCCATGCCAGTTCTGGAGGCCACAGAGGGCTCTCGCCTTGTCGGCATCTCAGGTTTGATTTCTTGGAGCATGTACAAGTTCAACGATTCGGGCTGAAGGCTTGTACGGGGGTGTGAATTCCGTTAAGTAGGCATTCAGCATGCTTGGTGCATTTGGCATTGGCCAACTGCGGGACCGGGACAGTTTTGTCTTCACTGAGATCGTTGTCAGCAGTGGTGGCATGTACAACACAGCGTTCCCCAAGTGGGAAGACGCTACCTCCACAGGCGCGGGAGTAGCTGTGCGAAGCACTCGAGTCAGACATGTGTGACCAATGGTGTGCTAACAGGAACTGCGAAGTATGATGGACAGTGGCTTGGCGGCATAAAGAAGGGCCCGAACCTCCACCTTAGCAGCATTTCGGCGAGATGTCGAATGTGTAGTTTTTCTGAGATGGACCAAGGTTTGCCTATGCATATGCCAAGCGCGGGCAGGTACTTCTTTGTGAGCAGTGGGCAGAGCTTCATCCCAAGGCCACCGAAAGTTGCTCGCTGCGCAGCGAGGGCCTAGTGAAACCTTCAGGCAAGCCTGGAAGCGCCACGCCAGGTGAAAGTGGTCAGTTGCCACCCGGGCTGGACATCTACTCCGGCTGTGGATGAAGCCTACGGCTCCAGCATCAAATCTGAATTTGTAAGGAAGCCAGTCAAGAGACCTCGTGGGCTGGCATGCCGGAGTTGCCTTTCAGGCAAATCTTACTTGGAGCCTATGCGCAATACATGGCAGGGTGCCGAAGGCATAATTTGGCTGCTTGGCCATTCCTCTCTCACACCATCAGTTCTGACTTCGCCACCTGCAAGCTGGCGTTCTGAAGGCTTTGTGTGACAGATCCGAGTGCCATCGAGCCTGGTGCCTTCTACCTGGACCGGGAGCCTCAGGTCAAGCACATGGGAGGCGGGAACTTCAGAAAAGCAGGGAACTTCATCGCGCGGATACAAGGCAATGCTCACGTTCCCGAAACCCCGTTCGGGTCGTTGTTGAGCCACGCCGCATCAACAAATCTTGCAAGTGCAAGCTTGAAGGATTTCGCTGATTGGATATTGAGGGGCTTGAGAAAGGACATTGAGCGATCGGAACTCCCAATATCAGTTCCCTGTGTGGGAACAGGCGCTGACTGTCAAAAATGAGCCGATTTGTAAACACGACACGGTCTATTTCCCTGAAGCGAGGCTAACAACACATATCGGGTAGACCATGTAAATGTAGACCCGTGCGCATGTTGTTCGAGGTGTTGGGACGTCTTGGGTGGGGCGGTATGGGCGGCCAGCATTCTCTCTCCCTTGGCTCTGCCTGCGTGCTGATATGACTGCCATTTCACTCGAGATTCGCTTCAGCCGGTACTCCCAGTTACCCCAGATTGAGTTGGCCGTTCGTTTTGAATGAGTCGCATGCCTTCAGGACTTTGCGAAGTGCATGTCGAAGATGCGTCTCCCAATCCATGCCAAACGGCTCTGAGCTCCCCTGCGAAGTGATTTTGTTTGGAGGGTTTTCGATGATAAGAGCCTTTGTGTTACGACGCGATATCCACACGGGTCGGTCTGCCAAAAGTCTTGCCGTCTGGTTTGGTCAGTCGCAGGGTGACTGAACCGCAAAATTGCCGTTGTGACACAGACGAACTTTGGGCAGGGCATGTTGCGTTCGAGTGCGTGTGCCTCTTCATCCCGCCTTGATACTTGCATGAAACAAGCAGGAGCTTTCTTCACAGAGGGCACGATTACCAAGAACTCTCCTGGTGAGGTAGCCGACATGATGCGATTACTTGAGGCGCCCTGTAGCTATGACAGCAAGCTGTGCGAGCGCTGCACAGAGCACGATGCAGGATTGGGCCAATGGCCGCAGAGACTCGGAGCTGCGCGTGGCTTCTGCCCCACTGGCTGCGATGACCTCGCCGATCGTGACCTGTCGGCAGCCTCGATCTGTCTCATGTTGTTTCCGGTTCTGGATGGTTTTGACTGGACCAAGGATCTGCCGCGCTTCATGGGAACATGGTACGTCCCGTGGAAGCAAAGCATATCGGAACTATGAGAATAGATAGTGACTTCCTTCGTTTCTCGGCTGTGAGGACCCTCGATCGTAGACAGCTCTGCACCGCATGCAAATGCATACGCAAAAGACCCTTTCTTGCGGGGGCCTGAGGTCATAGCGAACATTCCGACCTTCTTTGACAGAGGAACAACCCACAATGTAGAGAACTACAAACTGGATGACGGAGGACACATGTAGTCGTGGAGTTGCTTGACTTGGGCACGCTGGAGTTTTAAAGGACGGGTGGTGCACGTCGACTTCACCTACAGAAAGGCCTGCTGGCCTCTCCTCTGCTGCTGAGCTGCAAGCTGCAGTCCTTCGAAGGCTGGCTCTGGCAAACCAGGGCTCCTACAGCAGCGGGCTGAGGCCCAGCCGGGGCCGTTCTCCTGAAATCACTTTGCTTTTTTGGCGGTTTTGCCCTTGCAGGTCGTGAATGACGCATGCACGCAGTGGGCCATCTCACCCAAACTAGGCTCAGTGCTGAAGTTGCAAATCACGCACCCTTTCGCTGCGAGGGGTGCCATCTGTGGCCAGGTGTTTTCCTTCCTTTGAGGATTGCGTATTTGGTGGCGGACTGTGCAGAGGATCGGGCTCGCTGCACGGATCTTGTGGCAGTTGATCTGCGAGCCAAGAGGATTACTCCACCACTATTATCGGAGTGCCCGACAAGTCTTACATCTGGATCATGGCAAGAACGCCGACCGTAGACCAGGCCCTACCGCTGCATTTTCTCTTCCCCTAAGGCCCCCCCCAAAAAAAACGCCCAGGCAACTTACGATGCTCTCTTGGCCAAGGCCAGATCTTTCGGTACCTAGGATGGCATGGGAGCGAGTGTGCTCTAAAGTCTGAGCCCTGGGGGCTGCAAAATCCCCGGAGCCCAGCCGAGGCTACAACACCTCAAGCATCCTCCGAGTCTCGCAGGAGTGAGATCTAGCGGTCTTAGCTCTTAAAGAGTGTTAATGCCTTCACCTGGCCTTTAACGACAGAGGCCGGGCTGACTTAAGCTGTAGCGAGGGAGCACACAGAGAAGCTTCCACAGAAGCGCTTGAATTCGATTCGAGGTCCTCGGTTAAGCAACACAGCAGCGGTTGCTGCCAATTTTCTCTGGGTCGATTGCACTTGGCAGCCTGATCCGGCTTTTCAATCTGCAGGGCATCGTTGCCGGAGTTACAAAACTACCGCAGCGGTGTAAGGAGAGCTCGAATCGAACCACCAGAAAATGCACGGGACTTTTGGGGGTTTTGGCATCGATCCACGCTTCGAACGCTGCTGCTTATGGTATTGTTAGGTGCCATGTCCCAGCACCACGGAGCTTGTTCAAGCTTAGCGGCCAAGTCCAGCATGCCGTGACCCGATCATGACCAGGAAATAGAAAGCTTCTTTCACCTGACCTTGCACTGGGTGTATGTTTCAGCACTCAAGAGAAGATGCGCACACACACACACAGAGGTTCCACTTCGCTGCTGAAAGAGTGTGGGCGCCATGAGCGAGATCGCATCTTGCCTGTGCTGAGCTGGGATATGCAAGTGTCCGACGAGCAGCGTACACTTGGAATCGCGGTAGCGGTCATCATGCTCTGCGTTTCCTGCACCTGCCTGGCGATATGCGGCGCGTGCCTGTGCGTCTGCGTACGAGGTGTGCCAGCCAAATACGTACCCCAGATCGAGGCCGTCCTCAAGGATCTCGACTCCCAAGGCTACCTGCCAAGGTTCTCGGAGGATTCCGCCGAAGGCGGGCGGCAGGACCGTCAGGTCGCAAGGAGTCCGGAGATCGACGACCTGCCGAAGCTGGAGGATTTGGAGTGGGAGATACCTCAGGTTCCAGCAAAGTCTGGCAGAGTCCTTCCCTCGTCGCTAAGACTCTAGCAGCCTGCATCAGCCTGCTGGCTCCAGCAAGAGCCTTAACAAAATGCCGTAGCGACTTCTCCTCCACGAAAAAGTTGGCTGCTGCGGTTCGGAGAGTCAGAGAGATCAGATCCTTCCGCAGCCCGCCGCAGCGCAGCGCAGGCGCTGCTGGGCCTGGTGAAGACGGGGGAGTCCAGGGCCCTGGCGTCTCTGCTCAGGGCATGTCGGCTCTTGCACTCTGCTCTCTGCTCTGCTCCCTGAGGTTCAGAGACTTTGCATTCTCTTCAGAGCTCTACTCGTGCACCTGACGGGTGTTTTTGCTTGCAGACTTTCCGATGCCGTACGAGGTCACGAGAGGCAACATGTCTTGGGGCTGCAGTCCATTCCAGGGATCTCTTCAAGCTGCTATCCTTGGCGTGTTCCTGGAGAACGCAGGAGCATCACAGCGGCAATAGTCTGTGCAGGCATAAGAACTCGTTCGGTACAGTCAAGACATAGAAAGACGTCATTCGGCTGATTGAGATTCATCCTGAGTGGAGAGAGTTGTGGCTTGGGCCCAGAATGAGTCAGATGACTAAGGTCGCAACCTTATGTGGTGAAGGTGCAGCAGATTTTTTGGCACCGCTGCCATGTTCCGCTACCGCTTTCAAAGCGAAGATTGATTGCTCACTGATATAAGCCATGATGGCTGCTGTGGCTAGTGCGCGGCTAGTGCATGCAAGACTGGTTCTGTGGGTTGACATAGCGAAGGTGCCTGACTTGCAGTTGGCATGGGCTGCAGCAGTTGGCCTTGCAGGGGCTTCGTTCGAGCTCCAGAATTCAACATCGCAGAAGCCGAAGAGCAGGCAAAGATGCTCGAGTCTGCTTCATATAGGGCCGAGTTGCAGCAACCAGGAGCACCTGAGCAGTAGTAGTGTTTCAGACTCATTCCATGTGTCGTTTGCGTCGACTCTCATCGCAAGGTGGGCCCTCAGCTTTGTTGGAGCCTGGCCTCACGCACCGATGGCAGTGCCCAACAGGCCAGCGCTGCATGACCGGGTTGGAAACTATTGAAAACTGCGGTTGGTGTCGATGAACCGCGCCTTCGCTAGTTCGGGAACGGGCGAGAAGGATTGGTGTTTCGCATGATTCGACATTGCAAGCGCTTTGCAAAGGCAGGCCTGGTCTGAATGGGGTGGAGAGGAGTTGCTGGTCCGCGGGACCCACGTTCTCCTGTGGAGTTTGAGGTCGACTTGTGCCGCCAGGCGGAATGGCCATTCATCCGGGACATTTTGCTATGGCTCTATGACAAGTTTCCAACAAGGACTTGGCATCCTCAGCGTCCATGCAGTGCATCGCTGTGCTTCGTGTCTCCGTGAGGTAAGCGTGCAGTGCAGGAGACCAGACCTGCGCCGGGTCATTGGCAGGTGCGGGTCACAGTGAGCATTTTTGATGCCGCTCTCGCGCGTGCACGGCAGAGTTCTTCCGACCGAACCTGCAGCAACGATCTTGTGCTCAAATGTCTTACCGGACGTTTGGCAGTGAAGCATATTGAGGCATTGCAGCTATGATGTTTGGCTTTTTGGTTAGACGGACCTATGACGATGACCGACATCGTAGGAGAAAACCCACAAGGAAACCTGGACTCGTTTCAGTCTCTGATGTGGACGCAATGGCTTCTGCTGTCTTCAATTGCCAGTGGGACCAAGCCTCACATAATTTTCCATGTCCGCGTCTTAGGTTGAAGAAGGCACAAGGCCATGGCTGACAAGAGTCTGACATCGTAGCGTGGCAGCAGGTCCTCGACGACTGGGGCTACCACGACATCGGCTTCCGGAACCCGGAGATGCGTACACCAACTTTGGACTCCTTTCATCACGAAGGTGGACAATGGTTTGAGCGCTTTATGGTGTGGACCATCTAGTCGACCCTCGGATCGATGACGACGTTCTTGTGTCAGGAGTTACTCTCGACCAGTACTACGTGCTGCCGACGTGCTCCCCCAGCCGAGCCACCTTCCTGACGGGGTGCCTTTGCAGATACTTTCGTTGTGCTGGCTGTATCGGTCCGGGTGTAAAGTAATGAGGCGACTTCCCATTCATCATGGTCTCAACTCCAAGTTGAAGTTCGAGAGTGTGGGGCCCCGTGGCAGCATCTTCTGCCTAGTTGCCCGAGGAGCACGGAAATGCATTGAGAGGATGGGGGCCAGGGATCTCGGTGGAATTTTCCGCGATTCCGAATCGTGAAAGAGTTTTTCCATCCCTTTACACCTCCAGCATGCTGCAACAGATTCTGCCCGACATAGACCAGACCCTCGTGATGCAGAGATAAGGCGTGATCGAGCACCAGCCGAAATATCCGCAAGCAAGGCAGGTGGTCGTAGATGAGGGCGGGCGCCGGCACTAAGGCTGCCACTGGACGAGAAGCTGTTGCCTGCGCTCTTGAAGGAGCTGCTCTGGCGCAGTCTTTTTCAAATCAGTGTTGATTTTCGCAATCCGAAAGTGCCTGAGCATCTCCAGGAGCAGGGCTACAAGACGCATGCAGTTGGGAAGTGGCATCTGGGCTTCTATCGTGCAGCAGCTGGGACGAGCACAGTAGCTCCCTTTGTCATCTTAGAATCCTTTTCGACTTGTTCCACGGGCGGAGCCTCGCGGTTGTGTGAGGCTTACACGCCGACCTTTCGAGGATGGGAGCGGCAGCCGTGAAAGCATTCGCATTTCCGGCTGGCCTGCTGCCTTCGATCTGCCTCCAGGCTTTGACAGCTTCTACGGGTACTACATGGGGTCGCAGGCCACGCTGTTGGCAGATGGCAAGCCACCCAACCGTCTGTCGCATTGTATTGCAGGGCTACTTCACTCACAAGCTTTACACCTACTACGATTTCCATCGCCAAGACAAGCCGAACTGCGGCAAGCAGTGTTCGCGAGTGGAGTGGAAGGCAGCTTCTCGACAGAAAAGTTCGACTTGAATTCCCCTGTGGCCGGCCTGCAAGTCTGTGTTTCGTTTCGGATGTTTCGTCTAAGGCTGGGATATACTCGACACGGCTCTTCACGGAGGAAGCAGTGCGCCTCATCCGCCGCTGCAAAGCTGCAATGAGTTCCCACAATGCCAACAAGTGCTGGTAGGCCCCCAGGCACAAGCAGTGCTTTGCGGCGGCTTTAGTGTGGCTAGTACCCAAAGAGCTACTTGTATCTATGTGCAAGCAGGTCACAGCGCGTATTATCCCGGCCAGCCACTTTTCCTGTACCAGGCCGGTAAGGGACTTATAAGGGGCACAGCCTTGCTGCCGAAATTGCAAGTTTTGATTGCAAGGCATGGCAGAATGTCCATTACCCGGTAGAAGTGCCGCGGCGGTTTCTCCCGCAATTCAGCAACCTGATCAGCAACACGACACGGCATCTCGGATCTTGAATCGGTGGGGCCTGCTGTTTGCTGAGCCGACGTTGCACAGTTGCGACAGCAAACACTGGAAAACAGGACTGGACAGGTCCAGGCCGCAATTGCCTTGCTACGTTTCCCTAGATTCTAGATTGGTGTGCAGGCTACCCTTGGTATCCCTTGATGCATCGCTTCGGAAAGAGCTTTGATCTGAGGCAGGTCCATGCCGCCATGGTCGCTGCTGTTGACGAAGGCATTGCAAGCATCAATGTGTCTTGTCTGGTTCGCTTGAGGATTTGGCTTGTTACAGTCAGCACCTGGCACAGTGCAATCATTGATGTTGTCGTTCTTTGGCCAAGGCGGCTTTGAGCAGCGTCGGTGCTCGGGTCGCAATTCGCGTCAAGCAATACAGACAGCGCAAAGTCTCGAAGATGCAAGCGACGACAAGATTGCACGCAGCTCCACACCGCTGGCACAAGCTCGCTTCCCGCATGTTCGAGTGGTATGAGAGGCACTGTGTTGCGTTGCTGATTTTCCGAGTTGGCTAAATGAGATATCGAAGTCGCGAAAAGTAGTTGTGGCCACGCAGAGCTCATCCAAGATCTTCGGGGATACAGCAGGAGAAGGAGCGCCCCCGAAAACCTGCTGTGCCAAGTATCCATCTATCTGCAGCAGCATGCAGGTAGAGTAGGTCGTTCAAGATGTGTATAAACCTGAAAGACGAGCTGGACTACATTGTATCTTGTGTAATTTCCCTAAGCGATCGGAACGTTTACACTCATGCTGCTGTAGAATCACTCTGCCACCGAGGCATGTTGGAGAACTCTGTCATCATAGCTGCTCGGTTGCAAGCAGGGCCCTCGACGAAGGTTGTAGCCACATCCGCCGACAGAGGTGACCGGGGACAATGGAGGAGCCATCGATGAGTGTCTGCCGAACGGGGCTTCGAACTACCCTCTCAGGCACCACGTCAATCTGGCTTTCCTATGTCTCGATTAGGGATGCAGTGAGAATTCGCGATAAGAAGAAGTGGACGGCGGGGACCAAACGATGAACAAGGATTTGCGAGCGAAGCAACCTTTCTCGCTCCTCTTGCATGCAAACACAACGAGAAGACAGTCTGGAACCTAACTACTCTACGTGCAGGAAGTGCTGTAAGTACTCCTGAAAAGTGTCTTTCCTCCAGAAAGCTTCTGTGCACATGGCATGTTGCCAGACTGTTTACATAGAATACTTTTAGCACCAGGGTCCGGTTCCAAACAACCTGACAGAGCAGAAGCAAAAAAGAATTTCGCAGCTGCAAAGTCTGGCCCGCCCTGCAGGGGTGGCAAGTGCAGTGTCTGGGAGGGAGGTGCCCGCTCCACGGCGCTGGTCTATGCACCGGGACGTGTTCCTCAAGGCCTCACTTGAAACCTATAGAGTCTGGAGTTCTTGGAGGTTGCTGGATGGTGAGTTAAAAACTGAGTGGCTTGATGTGCGCAGTGCCGTCATTGTCTTGGTAACACCATGTAGCAATACTCACGCGTCCTCAGTTGTTACTCGACAGCGACTAGCAGCGTCGTCTTGGAGTCACGACCAGGACACCCCACCGCTTCCGTGTCTTGATGACGTCAATACTGACTCGGAAGCGCAAGATGTGGATCAAGCAAGCACATGTTGATAACGATAAAGACAGTGAAAGGTTCTGCGAGCACAACATACCGCGCCACTGACCGCTCATGCCCACACCATAGAGGCTCCTTGTATGACTGTCCTGACAGGGCCTTGATATGCCCTCCTTGAGAACCTGCTCTTAGGAAGCACCGCTTTGCCGCAGAAGTGTGTTTAGATCCATTTTTGCGGACCTTGCCCGCCACGCAGGCCTTGTCTTCCCTGGCCTATTCCATGCCAGCGACTGGCTGCCTACCATCATGGAGGGCCTTCTTGGAGCTGAAGTCAAGGCCTTCCGATGCGAGCTCCATTTCTTGGCTCTGACACTCTCTATAGAGTCTGGACAGCTTGTCCATGCTTTCCCATGCAATGCGACCTGCGAGGGCACCAAGCCAGTGGACGGTCTCAACCTATGGCCCGCCCTGGCTCAGAACGCGTCGTCACCTAGGAGTGATATCTTCTACGGAATTGCTGATCCTTGACTGCACATCTCGTCAGGTTGGTTCACCAGGGATTTTTCCAGCTGTCCACCCGTCTCTTGTTTTGGCCTTGAAGGATCACACCGTTGGATTCCATGGCCCAGCTCTGCGAACTGCTGACGGCTGGACGCCCGGCTGGAAATACAGCAGATTGTGGGACCGTCAGCTACCTTAAGCTACTGGGTTCAACGGCATCATTGTTGCGGCAAGGTCCGGTCTTCGATTTCTTGTAGCAAGCAACCTAAACCCCAAACCCCAAACCCTAAACCCCAAACCTTAAACCCTAAACCCTAAACCCTAAACCCTAAACCCCAAACCCTAAACCCTAAACTTCCATGTGTCAAAGAGGGATGCCGCAACAGGAAGCTACTGCTGAATGGCGGAGGTGGCAGCGGCCGATGGTCGAATGAGTCAAGGCCATAATTATAAGAACACTAATAACCACAATAGAAATCATACTAATAACACTACAGTAATACATAATTATAACAACACTAATAACCACAATACAAATCATACTGTTACTAATACAAATCATACTAATAACACTACAGTAATAACAGCTTGCTCCCGATCTTGCAAATCCTCGCCCGCTCTCGGAGCACCTCCAGTCAACATTTGTGCTGTCTCGGGTTCTGCCAGCGGCTCTTCTTGCTGGACGTTCTCAGTCTTCTCAGTGGGATTCCGAGTTCCATCTGGGATCGGGGCCCGCGAAACGTTGGATGGGGAAAGCCAGAAGCTGCTTGGGACAACAAAAGCTCTACGAAGAATCAGCTAGCTCCATTACGTAGGGTGCTTGGCACTGCTACCCAGGCCTCGAAGACTGCCCGCATGAAACAGCCACATGAAGATGCAGAGGGGAGGTATTCTTTGCACACCGACCTGGGAAGGCTGCTTGCGGCTGACACAAGGACGCCGCAGAAGACTTCTGGTTGCATGAATATCGGTGACGTGCTTTGCCCTGTTACTGTTTCGCAAGTGACTCAGGATCTACCCTCAGCTTTTCGACCTCAAGACAGACCCCTCGGAGAGGTTCGACTTGAGCCAAGAGCGACCTGCAGCTCGGCTTCCTGTCCGTGGGTGTCTGCATAGACGTGCGACGGCAGAGACCAGGACATTATGGGACGCCTCAGATCCCTCCTCTTCCATTACGAGCGGTCGGGCAGACCCCAGGCGGGGTGTGCGGCATGAGGTCACGGCGCGCCTCATCGTCGCCAGGTGCTCCCTGATCGGAGTTGCCGACCGTTCTCTGCACGACACTTGGACAAAATGACGACGGCTTTGCTCGGAAGTGCCGTCATGTTCCCCTGGAAAAGTGGACCTGCCGAGGAATGAGCCCACGCGGTCCCTGGATTGGACCATGGTGCTGAAATGTGCTCAGCGTGGAGGCCGGCCCCTTTGCACCGCAGCGCAGTTCAGAGGCAATGCAGCTTGGGCGGCCCGCATGGGTTCAGGACAGAACTTTCGTCAAAAGCGCCTCGCCGAAGTCCAGGCCGTGTCGGTGGTAAGTACTAGTCAGATCAATGGTAAGTATCATTCAGAAGCATGTGTGTTCGGATGCTCCATGATGCCGCGACAGATTCAGCGACAGCATGGAGATCTTGGCGGCCCTAGCAAGCCCAGGAGCTTCGAGCGGTCTGGCTTTGTGAAACCGGCTTTCCTGTGCGTGAAGCTGGTAGATTCTCGTGCCAGTGCAGCGATTCACCTGCTTCACAGAAGCAGACCACTCGGTCAACAACGTGGCCGTCTCTTTGTACCTGGCCGGCCTGCTGGTGGTGGAGCGGCATCGCGAACGCCGGCGGACTCTGACAGGTTCTCTGAAGTGTGAGGATCTTCGAACAGCTTCGAGCTATCGGGAAAAAGGGCATTGCACACGCTCGCGCTGTTCCGGCACGCAGCTGCCCCAAGCTCCAGGCCACTCAAGGCCGCCGGGCGCTTCGTCCACAAGTCCGCGCCCATCGCTCCGCTACTGCAGGCGTCTTTTCAGAGCGGCCTGGGTCAGGGGCCAGAGTAGGGCAGCCTGCAGGTGCTGGGGCCGATCATCCGTGGCTTCCAGCAGCCTCTGGGAGAGGTGAGATGTGCAGTGCGCGACGAAAGGGTGTAGGGCTTTTTTGGGTCCAGCCTTGCTAAGGTGCAGAAGAAGCTCCTCTTTGACACGCTGATACCATTGCTCCATACTTACGGAGAAAAGCTCAGTTGGATCCTTGTGAGCGAAGAAGACACGAGGCACAAGCCGAACGAGTGGCTGCTTTGGGACAGACAGACTCCTATGATCTCGATGTATCACAAGGACGTCTTGGTGCTATGAGCCTTCGATTCCCTCATTCTCTCCCGTGTAGGAGCTCGTCCACTGCATGCCCGGAAACTTGGAGCCAGGGAAGCTGAGTGGCGAACACCCAACCCCCCGCACATCCGCCGAGGCTGCTCATGCTCGAGAAAGATCCCACACTGGCTGGAAAGTGTGTGGAGGACAGCTTCACATCGCTGGCCCTCTGAAGCTGAAGCTACATAGACATTATGATGCAAGGCCGTCTGCTCTCACTTCCCTCCATCGCATGAGTTAGCCCCTGACATCCGAGCGCGTTCCAGTCTGGCTTCCGCTGCAGCGCAACGAAGCCTGCCGCTGTCAGAATTGTAGTGAGGTCCAACACTCCAAAGGAAGTCTTGCTCATCCACGAGATTGCAGAGATCTTGAAGGTACAGCATACAGTACCGCAACATCCGCGCTCCTGGTTCACTCTATGACCAGGTCCTGGATCCGGAGGATGCAGCGGTTTGTATGCCGCGAGCCTGGGTGTTGGTAAGGGCACATTGTCACAGTGAAGAAGACAAAGACAGCTCTGAGGCCCCAGCTGCAAAGGCAGGCGGCTCGTGGCTCCCATGCATCGGGGTGTCTGCTCTGATAGAGAGGCACATCCTTCGATTGTTGACGTCGCAGAATGGCCAGACTCTGCAGTCAGTGCTGCAGTTGTGGAAGGAGCCCCTCCCAATCTGAGCGGGCTCCTTCCGCCAAGTGTGTTTCCATTCGCCAGGACGAGCGCGTCTCGAAGCTTTTGGCCAACTTCGCGGATTCGCTGGTCCCACAGTGCACTGTTGTGTGAGGCGGGAAGCCATTCTCTGCTGCCGACGCCAGATACCGGGCATGCTGCCTCTTCTCGTGAGGGACGGCGAGGTCTTCTGGAATCCCACAGCTTGGAGCCCGTGGGGAGACTTTTTTACGCGAGAATGGAGAGCGATAGACTGCCCCTGCGGAACAGCTTGGGCCTCAAGCTGTTAGTTGCCCTCCCCCGATAGTCGTAGCAATCGTCGTTTCCGGGGAGGATGGGATCGTCACAGCGATGTAAAATGCCATCCAGCTGGGTCGAACGATTAAATGACTGGTTTTGGGGCACTGCTGTGACATTGCAGAACTTGCAAGCAGAGACACGTTGCGATCGCCGCTACTGGAACTGATGGACCATGCGGCACATCCTCAGCAAACCTTCAGAACCAAGAACTTGTCTGCTGTGCGGCCAGGCCACAGTTTTCGAGCCGTGAGGGTCCGAGTCCATCGAGTCCGAGTCCGCCTTGAGGTGAACAAAATGACCTGCCTGGTCTTGGAGAAGCTGGAAGCTGCCAGCCCGGAGGTCGCAGCGCCCTTTTTCCCCACTGCCACTCTGCTTGTGCAAGCCTGGCAGCGGAGAGAGCTGAAGTGTGTTTGTGTTTTTGGGCCGCACTCCTCGCCCTTGCTGCCAGCTCCGTAGGGCGAGAATACAACTCCTTCATGGTACAGCAGACCAGTACTAGCAGTAGGGACATGTCGTCGCTGCGATTCGATGCTGGTTCAATCCGCGGGTGGCGGCAGAAACGGATGAGGAACTCTGGCACCAGATGTTGTTCTGTGGTTGAGCTTCAACCGTAGTTGCTTTTCATTGCTCTGCTAAGAACGCATTTCTGCGTGCTCGGCCATGGCTGCACAAAATGTGGAGACGGATCTTTGCTCGGATCTTGGCTTGGTGTCTTGCCAGATAGGCCGGCGCGGTTTGCACACCCCTCGGCCCGGTGTAGAAGAGCGCGGGCATCGCGATTGTGCAGCCGTCCAGGCTTTGGTGGTGTCAAGCCCACTGCTGGACAGACCTACAGCTGGGCAGGCCTCCGTGAGCTTTCCACACTGATGCAGAATCGAAGCGTGCGAATGCTATGAAATCTCTAAGAGCATGGGACTATGCATGGTCTTCCTCACCCCGGGGCCAGATGTGCTCAACGCAAAGAAAGACGAACTGACTAATTAATGATCGGGACTCAGCAGGAACTGTGCCGGACCGCTTGGCATTTCTTTCGATCACGCCTTGTGAAGGATGCGCCTCCAGCACCCAAGGATGCTAGTGAGGAGCGCTTGAAAGGTTGCAAGTCGTTGAGCCATGGACATGAGACTTGCAATGTCTGAGGACATCGCCTGCCGAAGCTCCGAGTTTGGCATCTCCTGGCTGTCACATGGCTCCAAAAGAGAGAGAGAGAGAGAGAGAGAGAGGGGTTGCTCCCCCTTCCTCTACCGCGATAAAGAATGATGCTGGCCAGTGACCTAGGAGAGCCCGGCTGCACTCGACAGGGCTTTGTGCTAGTCAAGCTCGGTCCCATATTTCTGATGCGTCTGCCTTATAATCGTGGTCGTGATGACACGGGAGCAGAGAGTCTGAGAAAAGCCTGGAGCCCGCCTTGCCGTGCCCTGCCCTGTGTGAGGGATCAAGGCTAAGAGACAGTTGGGACCGTCGTTGATGTAGGGTTGCTGTTCAAAAACATCGCTCCATACTTCTTTCTTCTCCTCTCCGATGTGGGCTACGCACTCACGCGGCGGGGGCAGGGGGTAGAGCCAACGCCGCCGACTTGAACTTAGCATGTGGCAGTCGGGGGCTGTAAGCTGTCACCGAGGCTCGGGGAAAGAAAGAGAGAACGAAGAGGGAGACTCCGTCGCAGACGTTCATTGTTGCCGCGATGGTATTGCAAGGATACATAAAGTGCATTGAGGCGTCAGACTCTTGCTTTGCAGGCGTGTGAGAAGAGACCTGCAGGCGGGAAGCCTAGGCTCTGGGAGACATTCTGGCTTTCCTGCTCGATTGAGCCTACAACAGCCGGGCAACACATCAGGCCGTGTTCGAGCTCCCTGTCGGCGAGCCGGTCCACTTGCCTCACGTTTTGAGGAGCCCGTCTGTGTGTCTCTGTGTGTGTGTGTGTGCGCGCGTTTGTGTGTGTGGATGCCCCGATTCGAAGAGTGTTTTCTGTTTTCGCTCATTCAAGCAGATCGTCGTCGTGTTATGTATTGCCGAAAACATGAAAGCAGCTTTTCTCCGCAGGGGGGACCTGCGGGAAGGACGGGGCAGGTGCTAATGAAGACTGCGTTATCAGTGGAGCCTGGATGCCAGCCAGACCCCAAAATACTTGATATATCGAGCAAAATCCTCTCCGCCCTCCCAGACTCTCTGCTGATGTGGTTGGATGTGTTAGAGGTGATGATGACATCTCTGTTTGTGGCGCCAGCCTCGCCAGCTTTGTCTCCCTTCCGTTGCTGATGGATGCGTTTGGATGTGATACTGCTAGTATCCCGCCTCGTTAGCTCTGTTTGCCTTCCGTTGCTGATGTGGTTGGATGTGATGATGCTTGGAGCCCGCTTCGCACGCTCTGTTTCGACTGCCGTCCCTCCAGCCTAGGCGAGCTTTCGTTCCCCTGACCCCGTCCTTAAAGTTCCATGAGCCATCGATGGAAACTGTGACGTCATATGGTTTCACAAACCATCGATTAACATATTAACATTCAAAAGCCATTTCATTCCGTGAACCGTCGATTGAGATTGCGACTTCACGTTTCACGGAGTCCTTGTCAGCTTGACTCCAACTCAAGTGTAAGTTTCTGGGGGTGGGTGTGGGGAGAGGGTGGGGGTGGTGGGGGTGGGTGGATGGGGGGGAGCTGGGTGGGTGTGTGTGTGTGTGTGTGTGTGCGTGGGAGTGGGTGTGGGTAGGTGCGGGTGGGGGGATCTGGGGTGGGATGGTGTGTGCGTGTGTGTATGTGTGCGCACAAGTGATGGCGCTGTGAGAATGCAACACATTTCTTCCACGTTCAGCGAGGCAAGGGAGAATTGGCGCGCTGCTGCAAGACCTCGTCACTGCCCAGGCCTCTTTTCTTCAGTATCCAAGCCGTTAGCAGTTGTTCGTGGCTGCAGCTAGCTTTGTGGGCGAGAGGCCCTCGACCGCCTGCAAGATGCTCAATGTGTGGCCTGTAGCTCAGCTTTTGAATCTCTGACTTCAGGAAGCCGGACAAGACGTGATGCGCTTGGAAGCCATGCAGCGTTTGCCTTGGTCTTGTTGACAAGGAGCGGTTTGAAGTGACAGCAATGCCGCTAGACCGTAAGAATAACGTGTGCTGAGCAGCTGTTGCCTCTAGGTTTAACACTCCTGTTTTAAACACTTGTTGGAGGTGGGCCGCATCACCCTGCGCCTGCTTCTGTGCCTCTGGTCTGACCCCGCGTCCGCATCTGAGGATGGTTCCTCTGCCTTTGGGAAGCTCAACTCTCCATTCCCGGCTCCCCAAACCCTCATCGCGGAAACCCTAAACCCTAAGATCCTCAATTCCATGTTCTTTTGAGCTTCCAACACTCCCAGGGCCAGGCGCTGCGACCCCGAGGCGCTGCAGGGTGACGTGCTCGTGGCCCTGGGCCTCGAAGGGAGGCCAGGCAGGGGTAGTCTGGTCTTGCCACGACCTTTGTTTGCACCCTCGTGTGCGCCAAAATAAACGTGCTTCGCACCCCAAAATACGCTCGGCACTAAAGCGCAAAGTGATGTGTTTTGCAGTCATGGTGGCATTTTCGGTCAGTAAGCCAATCCATTTGGAGGGCTATCGTCTGTGCTCTTGCTGGTCCATTTTGTCTACCATGCTAACACAAGGCCGCGAGGGGTGGTGACATGTCGGAGTCAATTAAAGGTGGAGTGCCAATGGCACCAGGTTACGAAACCTACTCACTTGCATGCCGTGACTTGCCGCTGCGCGGAGAGCTGAAAGCCATTACTTCTACTCCTACTACATCCTACCACAATTACAGAGTTCCCGCCCTAAGGCAGCACTGTCACCTCCAACCCTATACGTAGCAGCCGGCAGCCCGAACCTGATGCCCAGCACACATGTCAGACGCTACTTTTAACAGCCAGGGTGACGCGCTTGGGGCATCATGCTCAACCAACAACGGAAAGCACGAGTGCACGAATCCACACTGACGGCCTCTTTAGACAGCAACGGCGACGCTAAGGTGTTACTATTGCCATTACTATGATTATTACTACTACGTACTAGTACTATAACATTAAACACCTCTTTAGACAGCAGCCACAATGTCCGGAGAGACTATTGCTAGCATTCTTACTCTTGCTCTTGCTATGACTATGACTCTGACCATGACTCATTATGACTATTACTATTATTATTACTATTGTATACTAGTACTATTACTATTACTACTTCTACTAGTATTCTTTTCGCGATTACGATTACTACTATTGTCGCAATTACTATTTCTATTAGTATTAGCATCAGTATTAGTATTAGCGTTAGTATTGCTATTAGTCTTAGCAAAAGTATTACGATTACTATTACTATCACTAGTAGTGAGGTGCAGCGGACAAGTGGCAGAAGCAGCACAAAAACGCACAAGTGGCAGAAGCGGGCAAGTGGCAGATGCCGTTTGTGCCACCTGTGCCGTTTAAGCCTATTGTTACTACGACGATGTGACTATGTCAACTAGCAAGGTATGAATGGGACAAGTGACACAGGCAGAACAAACTGCACAAGGTGACGTCAAATGGACGCGGCATGTGGCTGAAGTTACATTTAAAGCCGCAATTGTACTGTATTCTTGCCGAATCATAAGCAGTCTTTGGGTACATCCCCGTGCCAAAGCTTTCCGAGAATGATATCTATTGAATCTTATGTTTATGGGGCTTTTGATTATGCGGGGAGGAGCCTATATTGTTAATATGAACGCATCACAGCATGCATATCCATGTACATGGCTACATATGTACATGTATACCTATGTATGTGTATCTGTATATGTATACACACATACAGTGACATCCATCCATCCATCCATGCATCCATCCATCCATGCATGCCTGCTGGCCTGCATACATACTATATAAGTACATACATACGTACATACATACATATACATAAAGTCCATGCATGCACTGTTTCTTTTTGCTTGTTCAAAACAGTGTTTTTTCTTTCCTCTCTCTCTCTCTCACTCTCTCTGTTTCTCTCTCTCACTCTCTCTCTCTTTGTTTCTCTCTCTCTCTCTCTTTATCTTTCACTCTCTCTCTCTCTCTCGCTCTCTCTCTCTCTCTCTCTAATTCTGTATGCAAATAGTTCACACGGATACACACAAGTATACCTGGCGATACATAAGCATGATCCCACAATTCAAGTTGCACCAAATGGTGTTTACGTTAAATGAGAGGTACCAAAAACGAGACGGCCTTGCAGGATATGTTGGAAGGGAGTAGCTGTCAGCAGCTTCTGCAAATAGCGAAAGCAGAACTCAATGCCGCCAGGCCAGGAGGTCAACCTGTCGGTTTGGAGGACCTGCCTCAGGGTACAGGGGCTTTTCGGAAGATTCGCACCTCTGATTCCGTAGAGCCTCAGCCATCCCTTTTGGGGCGGGAGGGCGGCTGTTGCTCCCAGGCGACGCTCCGTTCCGGCTGGCCAACGCTGAGGCCGGCTTCTCAGAGTTTCGCAGGCGCGTGGAAATTCCCTGGAACGCCGTCGGATTTCGGACCCGAGTGAATGCTCGCCACTGCTGGTGCAAATTCTGCCTCACAGGCTTATCCACCTGTATGTATCGCGGCTCCGCGCGCTGAAGGTCACGAGTCGTTGCGCTTGTGCAGTCGGGTTGATGTTGCTGCAAGTTGTTTCTACTGGTAAAAGCCTTCCAGACAACGGCAACATGCGAGAATCCGAGTCCGGCTGATCGTATACAAAACCGCAGACGCGCAAGGTTGGTAATGATGATTTAAATAAGTGTAGGCGCGAAACCTCTGCGACAGGACAATAAGGCTTCAGCATGCGTCAGGCCGACGGTGATCTTCGGCGAGCTGATAGCTGGTCCGCCGAGATGGGTGGTCGGTTACATCCTCGGATCCCAACGGTCCAGGGTTCAGGGAGGGTGCAGAGTGCGGCACCCCGGGAGGCTTCTGCAGGGTGCTCTGATGCCGAGATCCTCTTCCCTTGCAGATCAGTGGCAGGAGGCCGGTTTGACTGCGAGCAGTCAAAGGCAAAGCTGCAGCGATGGTCTTCGTGGTATCTGAATTCACGTTCGCAGCCTGCTCGGCTCCAAGAGTTCCGTGCAGTGACAGTTCCAATTCAAGGCACCGCATGGCATCAGAAACCAGACCCCGACTCCTTCGTTTCGGGCAGACCAGACAAGCCCTCAGACCCCTGCACCAACTTTCACCCTAAGTCCTTACGGTAGGAGATGCGCTCCGCTTCCGTGCGCCTGCGGCCCTTATGGCGGGGGGTGTCCACGATGGACATGCGACAGATCAGCCCTTTGTCTGATCACATTCTCGGCCTCTCTTTGGGCTTCCCTCTCGCAGTACGCGTCACTAAGGATGCTGCCGACTGTGCGATTCTTTCCCGTGAGCAGGGCCCACAGGAGTTGTCAAACACTGCAGCGTTTGCAGACTGAGAGCTTGAGGTGCTGCCCGCGTCGTCCCTGTTGATGCTGTGGAGGGTGGACCGGCCGTCCCCAAGGAGCGCCTTCGGTGTGGGTATCCCTTTGGGATTAAGGCTTGGGTCGAGGGGCTGGGCCACTGAGCTCAAAGCGCCAGCCGCAGGAGTGCTGGTCGGACCAGGCGCCTGGCTCCACCCCGGAGGTCGAGAGGCGCGAGACAGGGTTGCACTCAACGATCTTTCAGAACAGCGGCAATGCGGAATCGTCATATTGACTTACCTATGAAGAAACTATTAACATGTGCCATGTGCCACAAACATGTAAAGAACGTAAGAAGCCACGAATCACGAATGCCGAAGCGGCAGGGATTCGGGCAGATCAAGCCCGGCGCCCGCTCGAGGGAGCCACCAGAGCCAGGACTCTCATCACTGCATTCACAAAGCTGAATGGAGGGAAAAGGGGCCGCTCAGGGCCCTTCAGGGCCCTGTTTTGGGCTTCTTGGGTTTTGCGGATCAGGGAGTCGCAGGAACAACAGCCTGCAAAGGTCAGCGGAAGCTCTGGTGCCCTGCATGCGCCCTGCAGGATTCGCCTCAGGACGATGTGAATGTGAAGGCCACCAAAGTAAGGACCTCGAGCCTCAAAGACAAAAACAGAGGCCGACGCAGCCCGGTGAAGATGGAGCTCAGGAGAGTAGGCACCTTCCTCTTTGCGACCTCACTCGTGTCCTGTGGCCTTGCTCCGGGGTTTGTGTCTCTGCTTCCTGCGACACGACATGCTTGGTCCCCACGGGGTTGTGGCATGTGATGCACTGAGGCAGCAGTCTCCAAGAGGGGCGTGAACAAAGAAGTTTGGCGCGAGCAAAGGCCAAGAAAAAGCTACCCAATGGCTTTGCCTTACAAGCATCTTGACTGAGATCAGCACTTGTTCACATTTTACGGCACCTACACTTCGACCTAGTGACCTCGTCCATGTCTCCCCTGCAGGAGCGCATGGAGAACAAGGTATCTTCACGGCGCCGGATATCTCAAATCGCACCGCAGGCCTGAAGCGGTTAGAATTACCATAAGCAGCCCAAGTGACGACGAACCGGAGCTTTGCCAGGACGAGCATAGCCGCTGGACTAGGGCACGCTTGTGGCTGCTCCCTGTGGTTCGCCACAAGCCACTTGGAGGTTTAACCCCTTCCTTGCTGCGCTTCCGGTCACTTCCTCTTTTTTCAGGATTGAGCCTTGCCGCCGCCTTTTGATGTTGAGGTACTTCAACCTGTTTGCTGCCATCGTGATCATGGCAAACGCTTTGTTTATGGGCGTGGAGACATCCTACATTTCCTGCTCTGGTGATGTGGAGGGGCCACTAAACGGCATTTGCATGCTTTCTCACAGCCCGAAGGACTTGGTTTGCAGTGCTGAAGACTTACATCCGTTGAATGTCGGAGCCGAGGATCGAATGGTATATAGCAAATGTTTGTTTCACCCAGCTTTTTGTTGTGGAGCTCACACTTCGCTGGTTCGTAGAAGGCGGGGGAGATGTGGTGCCCTACTTCTCAAGAGATATCGCAGGGGTAAGTTGTTTTCCTTCATACTACCATGGATATGGTCAGCTTAGATGACTTCTTCTCGGTTATTCTCCGTTGACAGAGCACCATGAGTGGGTCGAGCAGCTTGTGTTACACGTCAGATCCAAGTCCACCTGCATACTGCACCTTTTGTTGCGAGTTGCTCGGGCTGTGCGCCCCGGCAGGCCTGCCTTTCTGGTTCGATCCCTGGAACATCTTTGATGCTCTCTTGGTTCTGTTTTCGTTGTTCGACGACACTTGGATTGAAGAGTGTACCCGATGCATCCTCTTGCCTCCGCAGCCAAGCCACATGTGCAACTCGTGCCCAGGATTTCGTGCTGACTTTCCTGCTCTCGGACACATCCCAATCCCACAATCTGAAGGTAGTTTTCAGGCAAGATGGATGTCGACACGGCTGGTTTCACATGTTTCTGGAGGGCACCACTGGAGCATGCAGCATGCTTCTTGTTGTATATGTCATTCCTGTCCCCTGACCCAGAATCGCCCGGATGATACGGTTTGTGCGGGTGCTACGGCTGCTCAGACTGTTCAAGGGCCTCTGGTACCTGGTAGAGGGTGCCCTGGCTGTCAAGTAGGCCAAGAATTTTTGTTCAGCCTTCGAACATGTTTTGAGCTGGACTTTTTCCCTTGCCGCTGCCCACAAGCATTCAGGCATTGTGGCATCGCTGAGTTCGCTGGCTTGGGCTTGGCTGCTCTTGATTGATCGGCACTCAGTTTTCGTGTCGGGAAAGGATTTGAAGATGCCGAAGTCTGACCGACCACTCATCAAGCCCGGATGGTCGTGCCTTGCCCAGGTCATGATGTATCTTCCAGCTATATTTGTCACACAGACCTTTGGGAGGGATGTGAATGCAGATGCAAAGACACTAGAGTACTTCGGCTCGCTTCCGTCTCTTGGCGCGGAATGTTGGGTGTTTGAGATTTCCCGCAGCATTCTTGAAGCGCTTTTTGTTGGCAGCTGCTGGACTGAGGCAGAGCATGTACACGCTCTTCAAGGTTATGACCATGGAGACATGGGCTGATATTGCCCGGCATACAGCCAGGCTTTATCCAGGTGCTGAGATCTTCTTCGTTCTCTACATCTTCTGTACCAGTGCCTCGCTCAACTATGGCAAACGGAGCGGTCCAATAGCTGTTCCTCACTACTAGTCTCGATCTCTGAGGTCTTGCAGTGATGTACTTTTGCTGCACCAGAGTGTTCCAGGCAGCCGTAGGTGTCGGCCAGGCTTGCAGGCTCAGGTGCTGAGGGCCCCAATGCAGAAGCTTTTCTTGTTCCCTGATCTCAGGAACGTCGTCGTTGCTGTGATTGTGCAGAACACATGTGCCCGGGCACGACATGTTGGAGCTTCCTTTGCTGTCTCTGTGAAACTCTTAAGAGCTCCCTTACTCTGTTTTTGGCTTTGTCAATCTGCTTGCAGGTGTTCATGCGAAGGAGAGGCAAGAAGACATGCGCTCCTTCCAGGCCCGCCAGTCTTTGGTCTTACTTTCAGAGCTGGTTTGCTCGCAGCAGCTGCCGCGGCCAGGAAAAGAAGGATGCCAGCGCCATGCTCAAGATTCTAGAAGTCTTCCAGTTACTTGGCAAGGTTGGTCTTGCAATGTGGCGGCCGAGTGGCCGGTCTCGTTTTGTACTCTGTCTCCCTGTCTTTCACTCTCTCTCTCTCTCTCAATCTCTCTCAACTTGCTCTGTTACTCTCCCATCTGGGACTTTTTGCTCCGTCGCTCTCTCACAACTTCTTTCCTTTACGAGGTCAGATACTCTCGTCTTCTAGCTGGTGTTCTTTTCTTCTATTCTCTCGTTGTCTTGCCTTCTCGTTCTCGAGTCTCGGTGCGGAGCAAAGGACTGCAGATGTCCAGAACACGGGTTCAGTCACGAAGAAGGACCCGGAGCTGTTTGACTGTTAATTAATCTGTCAGTGCGAGCCCTGTCTCAATCCTGCATTGCTGGTGCATACGATTGCTGTCCTGTTGCGCTTGCCGTGCAGGAGTTTCTGGAAGCCATGAACATTCCGTCCGTTATGCAGCTGATGCATGAGGCCGTCGCTGTTGTGTCGACTGCAGCTGGAGTTGCACGGGCATTGCATTTTGTAATATAGCATAATATATATATTGTATAGTGTAAATTAGTATAAGAGAATGCAGCACAATATAGTATAATATAGTCTTATATAGTATTACAAAGTCCATGCTAGGACTCGCAAGGTCACCCCAAGTGCCGCCAGTCGGCAATGAGAGTCTCTCGTCGTGGCCTTTCTCCGTCAGGTGCAGATCGACGTGCGACAGGTGGAGACCTTGTTCGACGTCCTGGACTACAACTGCTCAGGCACGCTGGACTCCGAAGAGTTCGTGGAGGCAGGTCACGGGGGTCAGGCTGAAACGCCGAGCTGCGGCCTGCACATATTGTTATTATGATTGTGATTTCTGCTATGATTATTGTTATTACCATTATCAGTATCATTATGATGGAAATTATTTTTGTTAGCGTGCTTCGGGGAATCTTTTCTACAGCCTTAGGCACACCTTGGCCCTTGCACCGATGCAAGCCCTGAGCCCGCGGCCCTAGGCCCTGCAGCTTTGCTGTGTTCATAACAACCCTTTAGGGTTTAGGGTTCAGGGTTTAGGGTTTAGTGTTTAGGGGGCCGCAACAACCACAACAACCACAGCGATGACAACAAGCACAACAGCCACAAGCATCACCGCCGCCGCCACCGCCACAACAACAGCAGAAGAAGGTAAATACAGCCGGTGCGTTTGCAGCCTCGAAGGGTCTGTCGTTTTGTTTGTTTTTAGGATCTGTGCAATATTTTGGAAACCCGTCTAGCGAGTCCAGTGACTACATGTTTTTGCAGTTGTGTGGTCTGCTGCACTGTGTTTTCATGCGTTTGGTTGTTCTAGGTATTCGCATGGATGTGAGTGTAGCAAGCTTTAAACTTTGTAGTTTTTTGTCGTTTGAGGTTCGGCTTTGTGTTCGCCTTCGATTTTTTCATAGAGCGCCGGCCGGGCTCGAGATTCTTGTTGGCTTGCGATTCGTGCGCCAGTTGTAGAGACAACCCATAACAAATTTCATGCGTGATGTCCGGAGAATGCCGGTGTGAAGAGCTCCAACCACCCAACACAGGAAACACCAGCCACAGCAGTCACAACAATCACAACAATCACAAGAATCACAGCAACCACAGCAACCACAACAAGCACAAGCATGCAACAACCGCAACAGCAGCAACAAGAAGACTATCGAGAATGAGAATAATATCAATAGTGATAACAAAACAATGACAGCCACCACAACGAACGCCAGCAGCAACAACAGCAGCAGCAACAGCAACAGCATCGGCAGCGGCGACAACAGCCACAACAGCCACAACAGCCACGACAGCCACAACAGCCACAACAGCCGCAACGGCCGCAAACACAGCAACTACAACATGCAACAGCAACCAACAGGGCGTCTTACACTCACCACAACAAGCACCCTCTAACCCCACTACACCCACCATTCTCACCGCACACAGCGCAGCCACAACAACCGCCGCAACCAAGGCCACTGCAACCACGACAACAACAAGGTCACGCCACCGTGACGGATCCCATGTTTTTTTTTGGGTTTGGACCTCGAAAACGCCGCT